CTATGTATCCTTGACTAAATTTAATTAAAATTCTCGATCTAAGCTTTTAGATTTTGAAACGAAGTATATTATTCTCTCCCTTAATTATAGCAAAACAACTTTTCAACCCCTACAACTTTTCAAAATGAATCTTTGTTTTCTATAATTAATATTGCTAACTTGCAATACTTAAAATAATAATCATGCTCCCACTAACATGATGATTATCTCATCACTAGCATAACACTTATGCTCCCACTAGCTTTGACATGTATTCAGAAAACAGTTGAACTTCCAGAAAACAATACTTATTGAATTTCTTAAGTTCATATTTCTAATACCTGATGCTTTGATAAGCCTTTATCTAAGCTTCTTAATCTCATACACATTTCCTTAAATAGCTTACATGTGTGTCTAAACTAATTCCGAACTTATATTAATAAGTCCCAAATGTCCAAACTAATTACCAAATCTCACAATTAGAACTATGAAAAGGGATGCCGTAATCATAATCGAATATGAGAATACAATTTTCACAATCGCTATCCTCTTAAAATCTATCTTAGTGAAAGCATTTCCTCACTGTCATTTTAATGAAGGAGAGAATCTTATGACACTTAGATTTTACGGTGTATGTGTTCTTATCCATGTGAATTTGCCAAAACCAAATTTTGCGACAAATCCGAACTCATGTGGACCGAACTTTCTTAATCTTGATTTCTTTCCTTATGGTAACACGAGTGCCCACCATGTCTTCCAAGTAGTTTAGCAATTTATCCTTACATATCAATGTACTTTCCATCGATCAAGGTGCTTTGTCTTTATGCATTCAAATGAGAACTCATAGAACTCACATACATAATGGCACAGAAACAAAATAATGTCAACACGATAGTTTGTAAACCTCAAGTCGTGTGCTAGTGATGATCGATAAGGTTTATTCTTGATTTGTTCTTGAAACTTTTTTCAATATCATTAAAACTCCCACTGACCTCTTGACATATATGATTCTCTTGTCAAGAAACTTTTCTATACAAAACAAATATTCAAGAGTTAATGTAGTTCTTATCAAGAATGTAACATCCCGAAAATATGAGCCAAAAATTTCATTTTTAAATACACATACTTAGCAAAACATTAGAATAAAACATTCATTGATCGTATCATTTCATAAAGGATGTGCGTGTCTGGAAACCAGTTTATAAAATCATAATAAAAACATAGTACAATTCCCCAGGAAGATCTCATAGTGCGGAATACAGAGCGTGTGTGTGATGTGCTACTACCGCACGAGCTCTTTCCCCTTCGAAGAAGAGGTACCTGAAACCAAAACTGAAAACTGTAAGCACGAAGCTTAGTGGGTTCCCCTATCATACCACATACCATACAATCACGTATCATACATATTGCCAGGCATTTCTGGGGTGCCCGACCTACCCGGTACGGCCATTCTGGGATGCCGACCTACCCGTGTCAAGTCATTCTGGGGTGCTGCCTACCCATGTCAAGCCATTCTGGGGTGCTGACTTACCTTCAGTCCTAACGACCGAACCTTGGGGACTATTTCACCCCTTACTGCTACTATCACATATATCATAACATATTATAAGAAACATCTGGGGTGCCTGAACTACCCTGCAGTCCTAACAACCGAACTCGGGGACTGGTCCCCTCCTACTACCTCTATCGCATATAACATAACAAGCCAGCATGCAAACATATCATCACATACTGTCAGACGTATTTGGGGTGTCTGACTACCCTTCGGTCCTAACAACCGAACTCTACTACTATCACATACAACATATCATGCTAGCATATAACATATCAGGTAGTAGCAAACCTAGATGATATCACAAAGATAATCATCTATCATACGTCTCCTACTGGTGGGCCGGCATTGTGGCCTTAGACCCACCGCTACTAGAAGGTAACTCACCTCGAAAGTAGCTGCTGAAATCTGCTTGCTGAGCGTCTAACTGCTGGATCGCAAATCCTCCGGCTATAAACCATAAACATAGGTTAGACACCCATTAATACCATTAGGTCAAAAGACTGACCGTCCCTTGGCCCAAGGTCAACCCCTTGGTAAAAGTCAATGTCCGTTTGACTAGACTCGCCGAGTCCTTTTCCTAGTAACCCGGTCCTACCCAACTAGTCATTCTTCCCACTTACTGAATCACTCTTCATTCATGACTTGGGACGATTGAACTGACTCGTGACCCGACTCGCCGAGTTTGAAGAACAACTCGCCGAGTTCCAGGCAATCTTCATAGGACTCGCCGAGTTGTTCATCCAACTCGCCGAGTCTAAGGCCATCTTCATGGAACTCGTCGAGTTCCTCCTTGGGACTCGCCGAGTCCCTATGACCCATTTCCCATGTAGGCCAAATCTGAGACATGCAACGCTTCAAAACCATAGATCCATGTCCCTTGAACATGCTTTTCACATAAAGTTGCAAACTTTACGTGCATGCATGGCCCTATAAGCTAAAAAGGCCAAAACCAAGCTCTTCAAGAGGTCATATACTCAATGGGGACCTTAATCACTTCAACCACAGGAACTTTATGCTACTAATTCATCCAATAAGTCCAGATCAGAAGTCCTTTCGGATCATTAAGCACCACACATGGAGCTTGGTGTTTTAGGGCTTGAAAACCACCAATTTGGGACAAAAATAGCAACTAATGATCTAAAGATCAAGGTAAAGACTTTTCTACCTGAATGGAAGCTTCTCCCTGCGTAGAGTTCGGATCTACTCCTTTCCTTGCACTCTTCAACCACCTCTTTTTCCTTCTAAGCTCCAATCTCCTTCACAAGGCCAAAAACTCTCTTTAGATCAATAAGGGGGGCTAGGGTCTCACTCTAATGCTCTCTGGAAGTGTTAGGGATAAAGGAGGCCAAGATAGAGTGTTTAAATAGGGTGCAAACACCCGGATTAGGGTTTTTGCCCAACCAGGGCCTACTCGTCGAGTCCGGGGACCGACTCGCCGAGTCCAGAGTCCAATTCCCGCACCTTGACCCACTCCTACTCGGCGAGTTGGCCCATCAACTCGCCGAGTCCAAGGCAATATATAAAGAAAATAAATATCAAGGAGTACGTACCGGGGACCAGGTGCTACAAATCCCCCCCCCCCCCCCCCCACTTATCTTAGACTTCGTCCTCGAAGTCTGCTGCTCGATCCCGAAACAGCTCGGGGTAGTGCTCCATCTCTTCCACCGGCTCCCAAGTCCACATTCTTATTCCAACACACCCTTTCTCCTTGGTGAAAGTTAGGCTAGCTACAAGCCAAGGGGTCGGCACGGTGTTTGTCGAGTTCGCCGAGTCCGATGCTGAGCTATCCGAAGTCCACACCATCTAGCCTTATAGACATTGGCGGAGCTTCATTAGGGCAAAGGGGCTGTGGCCCCCCTAATTTTTTTGGTTAGATATAGTCATTATAGTTATATTTATACATTTTAGACCCAAAAATATAAAACTTTGGCTGTGCCCCCCCCCCCCCAACCAACTTTTATACATATTATATTTTCGGCTCCCGAATCAAATGTTAAAGCTCCGCCCTTGCTAATAGAAGTCAAGAACATATAAGGGCATCTCCAACCCACCCCCAAACTCCATTCCTTCTCCCATTCTTCTCCAACTCTACCCCATTTTCACATCTATTTTTGGAGATATGAATAGTATTTCCCTATATATGGAGGAATACTATTCATATCTCCAAAAATGAAGGTCAAGTTTAGTTGCCAATTTTAGTCCCTCTCATTTTTATTTTATATATTTTTAGTTTATTTTATCTACTAATTATAATTTAAATGCAATATTTAATATTTATAATATCATGTTATGTATTAATTTATATTAATTAATCATAAATATAGAATTTAATTAGTAGATGGGTGTATTTGACAATATATATAATTTATAAAAATGAAATATTTTAAATATATTCTTTTTAAGGTAAAAAATAAGGTAGAAAATTAAGTAGGGTTAGAGATGAAATACTTTTTTCTCAATTTTTTATTCTATTTATAAAACACTATTTACTTCCTTCTTTTACTCCACTTTAAAAAAAAAAAAAAAAAAAAAAAAAAAAAAAAAAAAAAAAAAAGTGAACGAGCGACAAGGGCAATTTAGTAAATTAGTTACACCAACTTTTCTTCCTGTGTGTTTAATCCGCATTCCCACACTCTCATTCATCCCGTCTCTCCCACACAGTCTACCAAGTTACTAAAATACCCACCTTGAGGCGCGTGTTGGCCGTGCATGGGGGTCGATTTTCCCGAATCCATCTAAATTTAGAGGAGAAACAATGGCAGCTGCAAATCTTTCGCCATCTAAAATCACAGAAATTATTCATCTAAAAATAGACATAAAAGTATGAAGCTTTACGAAAAACAGCTCTGCCTCTCAGATTCTGTTGTGGTGAACAAAATTACACGATTTTATTCAATCCTGTTCGTCATTCGGAAATGGATTTCATATGAACCTTCATTCAGAAATAGAAATAGAAAATTGAAATTTGTTAATCGATAGGTAATTACTTATTGTTTTGTTTCAGATTACATGCTAGCTTTGATCGTCAATGTGATTTGAATTTTGTGTTTACAGTGGATTTGGCGCTATAACTGTTGATTTGTTGGATTTATCCGAGTTTTCAGGAAAAAAAATAAACAATCCCGAGGGACATTGTAATAAGCTTCTGGATGTAACTCCGGGGATTTTCAGGTATCCTATATACATGTAATGTCATTGTTAGTTTGATGATTTTAGGTTTAATTGGCAAACGATGAAAATTCGGTTGTTTGATGATGATGAGGGAAAATTGAAGCCTGGACGTAATCGATTTGATTATCGGTTTCATTTAGGGATTATGCTTTTGTATTTTGGTTAAGTCAACTTCATCAAATTGCTTGTTTGACCTAATTCTGATATGAAAACTTGGGGATGGTGTTAAATGTCAATTTGTGTGATTAACGAATTACAGATACCCGGGTGACTCTGCTTCTTAATCTTTTCTGGAATGGATGAAGAGAGAGTTCGGGAAGATTATCAATTTGGTTCTGTTGATAAGCGTCTCCAAGAAATCGCCGATCAATCCTCTTCTGGTGAGGATACATTCCTCAGTCCAGATTCATCTTCAGGACGTATGAAGGCTGAATATATTGAACATCTTAATGACGTTTCTCCAGGAAACAGTTATGCTTCATCTCCAAAAGCAATCAATTATGGTTCATCTCCTCCAAAAGCAAACAATTATGCTTCATCCCCTCCAAAAGCAAACAATTATGCTTCATCATCTCCAAAAGGAGGAGACGTTTATGGTTCATCTTTAAAAGCAAACAATCATGGTTCATCATCTCCAAAACCAAACCATTATGCTTCATCTCCAAAAGGAAACAATTATGCTTCGTCATCTTCAAAAGCAAACAATTATGGTTCATCTCCAAAAGGGAACAATCATGGATCATCTCCAAAAGCAAACAAGAGTGGTCCTGGTTCATCTCCAAAAGCCAACAAGGATGGTTCAAATAAACAGCCTGATCAACCTGATTCAAAACCTGGTCAAGTTGCTGCTCATATCGATAGGGAGAAGCCCTTTGAATCCGTTAAAGAAGCCGTTTCCATGTTCGGTGTGATTGTTGATTGGAAAGCTCACAGAGCTCAGACAAACGAGGTATATTCCATTCCATTCCATTCTTCACATTATGTTTTGTTTTACTCCCAAATCCTATTATTTTATGATGATAAACCAAGTCTTGTTATAATTTTAATATGTGCAAGTTATTTGTGTTAAATGATGCAGAGAAGGATATACATCGAACAAGAACTGGAAAAGGCGCGTCAGGAAATTCCGGCGTTCAAGAAAAAATCCGAGGAAGCCGAAAAGGCAAAAGATCAAGCATTAAGAGAACTCGACTGCACAAAAAGACTGATAGAAGAACTGAAATTAAACCTAGAAAGAGCACAAACGGAAGAACGTCAAGCAAAACAAGATTCCGAACTCGCCCAACTCCGAGTCACGGAAATGGAACAAGGATACACCGACGAGTCATGCGTCGCCGCCAAGACCCAACTCGAAGTCGCCAGAGCCCGCCACCAAGCCGCCGCTGCGGACCTCATAAAAGCCAGAAATGATTTATCAGAAATCCGTAGAGACTTCGCCGTTTTGATAACGGAACGAGACGCCGCCATTCAGAGAGCTCAAGAATCAGTGTCGGCGGCTAAAGAAGTCGAGAGATCCGTAGAGGATTTAACGATTCAACTCATAACAACAAAAGAAGCAATCGAATCCACTCACGCTTCACATTTAGAAGCCGAAGAACACAGATACGCAGAAGCCTTGTCACGTGACCAAGACGCCTTAAATTGGGACAAAGAATTCAAACGCTCAGAAGAAGAATTAGAAAAAGTCCAACAACAAATTGTATTAGCCAAAGATCTCAAAACAAAACTCGAAACCTCTTCGGTTTTACTATATAAGTTAAAAGAAGAGTTAGCCGTTTACATGCAAGGGAATAATTCCCAAGGGGAGATCAATTCCGATTCCAATTCCAATTCCAATTCTAATTCCGATTCCAGTTTCACCCGTATCGATATCCAATCCGGTATAGCACTAGCCAAAAAGAACCTCGAAGAAGTCAACCAAAACATCGAGAAAACAAAAGAAGAAATCATGGATTTGAAAAATGCAACCGATTCATTAACCGCAGAACTAGAAACCGAAAAGGCGACTTTAACAAAAGTTCGGAAGCAAAAAGGGTTAGGGGCAGGGGCAGTTTCGTCTTTAGAATCCGAACTAAAACGAACCAGAACCGAACTTGAAGAAATTCGGAAAAAGGAAAAAGAAACCCAGGAAAGACTGACCGAACTCCCGAAACAACTCAAAAAGGTGACCGAAGACGCCGAACGCGCCAAATCGCTGACCGAAGGTGCCCGAAGGGTTTTGAAAAAAGCAAAAGAATCCACCGACCAAACGAAATCGGAAGCAAACACGATGTCGACAAAGCTTGCCGCTGCCCAAAAGGAAATCGAAGCTGCCCGAGCCGCGGAGAAGTTAGCGTTAGGCGCGATTAGCGCGCTTCAAGAAAGCGAATCTTCCCGCGCGCTTAAATTTGATGACCAAAAAGACGGTGTGACCATTACATTAGAAGAATATTATAGTTTAAGTAAAAAAGGACACGATGCGGAAGAGGCGGCGGAAAAACGGGTGGCGGATGCCATGGCGCAGATTGAGGAAGCTAAGGATTCCGAAACGCAAAGTTTGAATAAACTCACGCAGTTGAATTCGGAATTGGCGTCCCGGAAAGAGGCTTTGAATGTGGCTTTGGAAAAGGCGGAATTGGCCAAGGAATCGAAGTTGAATATTGAAGAGGAGCTTAAGAAACGAAAGGGCGAAACCGAACAAAAAGCAAAAAAGGAGACAAGTCATGGCGGGTTTTTTCGCGGGTCGAAAGACAAAGACAAGGACAAGGACAAAGACAAAGAGAACGGGAATCCGGATCCCAATTCCGCTTCCGGTTCGACTTCCAATTTGAATTTGAAGTTGAATGTTAATATTGCTTCCTCTCTTAAATCGCGGTTTGGAGCAAAGAGAGGGGAAAATAAGGATAATAAAAGTAAAGATAGTAAAAGTAAGGAAAGTACATCAGCAACAACAACACCAGCAGACACCAACTCCACCTCCACCACCACCGCCACCGCCAACGCCACCACAACCTCCACCACCACCTCTAGCTCCATCAACCTATTCAAATGGGGTAAGGCGGAAAGGGAAAAAAGAAAAGAAAATAAGGAAAATAAGGATAACAAGGACAACAAGGATAGTACGGAAGGTGCAACAGCAACAGACTCCAATACCAATACCAACACAAACTCTAACTCCAGCTCCATGAACCCATTCAAATGGGGTAAGGGAGAAAATAAGGAAAATAAAAGCAAGGAAAACAAAGAAGGTAAAGAAGGTACGGAAGGTACAGGAGCAGCAACAACAACAGAATCCAATTCCAACTCCAATTCCATGAACCCATTCAAATGGGGTAAGGGGGAAAGTAAGGAAAATAAAAACAAAGAAAGTAAAGAGGGTAAGGAAGGTAAGGAAGGTGTTGAAAGTACATCAACAACAGCAACAACGGAATCCAATTCCAACTCCAACTCCATGAACCCATTCAAATGGGGTAAAGGGGAGAGTAAGGAAAATAAAAACAAAGAAAGTAAGGAAGGTAAGGAAGGTGCTGAAAGTACATCAACAACGGAATCCAATTCCAACTCCATGAACCCATTCAAATGGGGTAAGGGGGAAAATAAAAGCAAGGGAAGTAAGGATACCAAGGAAAGTAAGGAAACCAAGGAAGGTACGGAAAGTATAAGCGAGTCAGGTGGTGACACGTCGCCTGATGGTCCAGGTTCGAAGAAGAAGAAAAAGGCAGCTATGCCCAAATTTTTTATGTTTATGGGGAATAATAAGAATCCTAAAAATTTACCACAAAAGAATCCCTAAGTGTTTGAAGTGGAGAGTTAGTTTGTTCATTTTTAGAAAGTGTAATGTAAATGACTTACCTTTTGTCCATTGAGTTTGTATCATAACGTTTCATTATATTGCTAGTTTTAAATGATTTGAAAATACATCACCAAACGTAGTAGGAGAATATTTTATTCTAAATGTTTACAAGTTCAATTGGATTATATCACACACTAACCATTATCATTGTATTTTGGTAACTTGTAATATGATTATAAGGTAGGGTGCAATAAGTAAGCGTCTACATATGCTGAAAGGCCAAAATGACCAAAATAGATTACAGCTACAGCTTTTGAGGACAAAGTAGAAGACAACTTCAAACTTCAAATCCAACCTTTGAAAAATAACAAATGAATTAGAGAAAGTCATGGATGATGAAGAAAATTTTCCCCTGTACTGTCAAATTTCCATTATTGACCTCCAAAAAAACCTTTTTAACCTGAAATCCCATCAAAATCCAACATCAGGGTTATCTTAGCATACTGTCATGTCCTGTGTAACAAATGGGCCCACATTGGTTAATGAGATTAGATGGTTTTACTGTTATGCACTTCGTTCAATATTCTTTCCATGAAGTGGGACCCCGGGCCCATATATCAATCGACATCGGTCATTAAATGAACCAACTAGTCGAGACACCACTTCTTTAAAAAACATGGACGCCATCTGTTGTTGTACATCACAATTCACAATTTCACAAATCATTATAAAAAAAATTCATATATTTCAACCAAAGCAATATTAAAATGATAAATGATGCTTACCTGTGAGTATAAGGGTGATTGGAATTTAAAATCCACAAAGAAATGAAGATCACATGTTCCTGGAATGGTTCCCGGGTTGAACTCCCATATGTTTATTAAATGATCAAAAAGGCTGCTTTGTGATGAAGTTGTCTGTAATAAAGAAAGTGAAAGAGAAGTACATGACTTAATTCTAACATAATACATGTGCTAAGCTTATAAATATTACCTTTATCATTTTGGGCTTTACCAATTGCACATGAGACACATAGCTTTCAACAAGAAATTTGAAACCAATCTCCAATTCAGCATCAAAAGCTGAGTCTGAATGACGTTGAACTATATCAGATCTCTTACACCATGGAAGAAAATCTTGATACATATCAACAGCAGCAACCACTGCAAACAGCTGCTCTGGAGAATACCTGAAACAAACAAACAAACAAACAAACAAACAAAAGAAGATCTATTAGTTCATTCAAATAATCAAGAAAGAAAAAGAAAGATCAAAAATTACCCCATAATACGTTTCTCTTCGTGAACTTTTGAAAGTACATTACTTCCTTCATCTCCATCACCACAGCCAAGAAATCCCCTTCTTTGAATAACAATACCAGAAGACATATTTTGTAACAAGGGAGTATGTTTATCCTTATGAATACTACTAACTATTTGACAGGAAGATGGAAATGTTTCTACATTTCCAATGCTGCTGCGAAAACACCGATTTTGAACATGATTTTCCACTTCAGGGTTGTTTTGTAAACATCTCATTAACTGTTTGACACCATTTTTGCGTGTAATCAACTGCCCTACTGCCTTTGAAGTTGAACCTAACGATGGCATGGCAATAAAGCAGCAACACAGAGCAACTATACAACAAAACAATAGTTATCATATCCATGTAATGAGGTGTAACATCCGGTATCAATCACAAAGAAGCCATTGTTTTGATTCCTTCAAAGAACCAGAGATAAGAATTTCTGGAGAACACAGATGCAGAAGCATACTTATGGACAGGATATATATCATATATGTATCGGTATCTCCCTAAACAAAACACATAAATCAATCTTAACGTTTCAGAGAAAAGATAAATTGTTTTGGCAACGTTGATATTGTCATCAAGTAAAAGATAATCAAACGGATGAACAAACAAGTAACATAATTGAAGATTACCAACTAGTTAGTCCCTAACATTTTCATTTATTTGCCCTAATAGCAATCGACTCTCAAGTTTGGTTTTACGCTACATGAGAAAAATACAAGAGGTGTGGTATAATAAGGAAGGATTAAATTACGAGAAATAAATAGTAGTGGTACCTTAAAATCGGATGATGAAATAAGCGCGTTTGGATCCGTAAGAATTTGCAGTGAGAATGGAGAGAGGCGAAAGGCTAGCAGTAATCACGTATGAATTCAAGGGAGATTCAACCGATAAGGGCGGCGTTCCTAACCAATTTCACTTATTTCATCGGAGAAGAAGGCGTTTGGAGGCGGTGATGGGAAAAAAACGGCAGTCTGTAAGAGAGGTGGGGGTGTTTTGACGGTGTTGGAATGCGTTCTCATTGTTAAAATCCAGAATATGAGTATAGCCTTTGCGGTGGTTCATACGATTGTTTTTTTTTTTTTTTTTAACAGAAGTCCAAAACAATTAATTTTTTATTATTTAGATATATTCATTAATTTGGTTGACCATGATCAACAAATAGTTGTTGGGTCTCCAAAATTATCATAGTGTCTATTAAAATAAAATTAAATAAAATATTTTTATAAGTTTAAGTTTAACCTATAAAAATATCGACTTTAAATTAAAAAAAATACAAAAAAACTTATTAAGAAAACATAGGTGAATAGCAATTTCACATGTATAACCTTTAAAAATCATTGGTTTTTATCAAAAACAAAAGTTATGACAATAATATTTATGTACTTAAAAAAATACAAAATCACAGGTTGTAAAAATGCCAACAGAAAAAATAAAAAATAAAAAAATATGTAAATAAACAGTTATTCGTAGATCGTGCATGCAAAAATCATATGTTTCTCTGAAAAAATATGTTTAAATTTTCTAACGTAAGAATCTCCAAAGACCATAAAAAAGGAAATTTTAGATTAAATAAAAAAGAAAAATTGAATAGACTGTCTTTGTAAATGAATAGCCCATTTTGACGGGCCAAAAGTCCCTTTTGGTATTTAGGGCCTGCAGATTAAAATATAAGAAAAGGCTTATTTCGTTTTGCTAGAATTTGTAAACAGTTTAGTTATTTTTGTTATATTTGTCATGTTTTTTTAGTTTTAATGAAATATCGACATTTGGTCAAGCTATGTTAGGTTATGTTGGGTTCGAGTTTAACCTGTTTTTGTTAAACGTGTTAAAATTATAATAAAATTTAACATATTTAATCAACTGGATTAAGACTTTTCAGTCCACGGATATGTATTGGATTAATAATTAATATGACCAAGTTTTTACGAGTTATGATGAGTAATGTTGTGTGTAAGGTATAACTTAAAGCAACAATTGTGTATAATATATATATATATATATATATATATATATATATATATATATATACTATTATAATTTTTTATATACATATATGATTTAACGTATGACTTAAGGCGACATTTTGTTAAAACGCGACGGCAGATACAAGACTTTTAACTATGACGTGCCACGACGAACTTTTTAAAACTTTGGATATGCTTAACTTTTTCAATCTTTACGTATATAATAAACGGTTTGAACTCAGGTTGATAGCATTTAAAATTTTTAATTTAAACAAAGCTTAGATCTAGTTAAATAGGTTAAACCTCTAATATATTTCAAAATTTGAAATAACCACAAACACTAATAATATTATAAAGATTTAATCTTTAAACAACTCCACTTGTATTTTCGATGACTTTTATCTTGATTTTCTTCTATGTCATAGTAGCTCCTTCGAATTCCAAAAACAAATATTGCACAATATCCATTGATGCATTTTTCCGACATATTTCCATAGATTTAGGCATATGTTTACATTGACTAACAATGGGAATGTATTTTAAGGAAAATGACGTTATAGCCTACAAACTTTCATGTATTGTTTTAAAAGATCTTTTACATTTTTTGTAGTCTAAGTGCATAAAATCAAATGTTACCTACTAATAAGAGACCTGAAGTTGTAATAGTAGACTTGTAATAGTTGGTGTCCACTGAGAAACATTACCACTGACTCACAACCCAACACAATTCTGGTGTCTTGTCAAAATATTAATCGCACCAAAAATTTCAAGAATCATTATCTTATTTCCTTCAATTGCTAATCTAGCGCCAACTACTAAGACACAAGAAGCAACAATAGTTTGTAAAAAACGACGAAGCGTCAACTACAAAGACAGAAACAGTCTCGCTTCAGTATTGTTTTTCACGAAATACCCGAGTATGTGCTCAAAATTTCTTATCTACTTCCTTTTAGACGTTTCTTTTTTCTCTTCACCAACGTTTCTCTTTCAAGGAATTGCAAATATAATAATGTAAGTTTAAATCCTTCAATTTGGTTTCTTCAACATGTGTACACATTGGAACATAGTAAAACTTAGCACGATTTCGATTTGAATCCTCCATAATCACATGCTCTTCTTATATACATAAAGAGGCTTGTAACGAATCAAACAATCATAATACAAGTACCCAATTTGGGGATTTTAGTGAATTCTTTGACTAAGTTGGATTCTTAAACTTTATTCACCATTGGGGCATGTTCTGTTTCAACTTTTGAAACATGTAATCAAATTGATTCTATCGGTTTTCACTAATATATTCATCTCTATGTAATTAAATTCTGAAAGTTTGATCATTAGTTCTAGTAAACGACACAAAAGAGTCAAATAAACCAATGGAACTAGTTTCGACAACAGGAAACGATGGTGTTGCTTTCATCGAAGTTGACATGAGTCAAATAAATCATTAGTTCTTGATAAGATGTCACGATAGCAAGGATATCGACTTACCCTTCATTATGTCGATAATAGTTCTTTTAACACGAAAAATCATATTTTAAGCCCCCTAAACTACTAAAAAACGATAAACGACTTTTTAAAATAAAAGATAAAATTAATTAAAAGTTAAAAGTTATATTACATAAGTATAAATTTAAAACTTTTATTATGTTTAAACGGATGATCAGATTGAAATGAAGTTGATAGTTTCTAACGTAACATCGTTACATTTTCAATTAAACGTGTTATAGTTGGAGAGTTTAGTTACCTACAACTGAAACTCCTTATTTCGGGTTGGGTTGGCGGGTCGATATCCAATAGAAAACAGGCCGGTCCCATCAGATGGAGTCATGGAGATTGGTTTCGAGCCAGAGTCGGATACCCGGATGAGCACTACTCAACCATGTCGACTACAAAATCATTCAGTTTGAACAGAACCAATATCAACTCTTTTCCAAATCGATTTTGTTACCCCTACTCCAAGCCGATATATGTATCGTGTTTCTTGCTTCCTGGAATCACTGCTCATCATCTCGCCTAAGGTTGTTTCTGATTCTCTTCTCCTTTAGCATATGCTAGCTCTGTTGTTTTCATGTAATGTAATAGCAAGTAACTCAAAAAAAAATCTTATGCGCAACATGAAGCTAAGATAGTTGTATTTATTCCTAGAGATCAATTCAAAAACACTTATGTTGGTTAATTGAAGATACGTGGTAATTTCGTTTAACAAAATCAATCACAAGTCCAATTTCGTCTGATCTTCTATGTTTTTGTGTTCATTGAAGATGATATATGTATGATTCTAGTTTAGAATCCAATGCATGACGTATCTTCGGTTAAGCATGTATATTGGGGGAGAGAATGTGATTCCACGGACCACATCCTCCCCCAATCGTATGAATTTATAATGCCCCTTTTTACATTCGCTTGTTGCTTGATATCTGGCAAGTTATGTGTTAATATTGGTGATAAAAATACATATTGTAATGAACAATCAATATAAATTTTGCTATATTGTAAGAACCTTGCATTAATTAACAAATAATTGAAACCTACATCCTTGGTTATCACATTTTTGTTCAATAAAAGCATATAAACTTCAGCTATCAGATATTTTGCATAAAAAATCCCAATTTACATATCCATATTTGCTCCTCTTCTTATTTCATATTTCCCATTTTCATCTCTCATAAATAAGACTCACACATCCATAAGTTGAGCCATTTGTTACATTTCATGACTATCTTTTAATCTTTTTACATCTAATCTTCATTTTTGTTGAATGGGATTTCATATAAATATCTATATTACTATACAATCTTTCCAGGTTATTTTCTATGATGAGGAGGGCATTCACGTCTTTTACAAAATCATGCTAAATCTTGATTGCTATATTACATAAGATGATGGCTGGATTTGGGAATTTGGCACCCAAGACCAAGAATCTGGTTGTGGCTGGAGGATTGACTGGTTTTGTGTTTGGTGTGTATTTCTACACCATGAGAGCATTTGGTGGATTAGATAAGCTTCAAGTTGCCATTGATAAGTATGAATCTAAAAAAGTCAAGCATGGCCCCTAAAAAAAATGAGTTGTGAATAAAATGAAATGAAACATGGGTATTAAATAAAAATAGATTCTATCAGCACATTTTATCATTTTATTTGTTATAATCGAATATTTTTAATAAAGTATACATACTTTGCAATTTTTCGATGTTGAACATGTGTGTTAAATGGTTTTTCGATGTTAAGAGGTTATTTCTTTTTGACCTAATGAACTTAATGGGTTGAGCTTTTAGTATGGACATGTATACATGGTTATCTTTTTTTATACTTAATTTGGACAGAATGACTTGATGGGTAATGGGTTATGGCATTAAAATCCGGCTTAATGTGTTAAGACATGAACCCTTTACCTATTTGGTTTTCCAACTTCTCTTATGTTAGAATTGATGAATATTTTTAAAACTTAAAACAAATGAATATGTGATATTTGTTTTATAAAATGTACTCATTTAGTCTCATTCAAACCTTTAATTCAGTCTAGAAAAAAAAACAAACCTTACGTATCCATCACTTTATACATACATAAATCATTAGAAATGCATCCACTTTAACCCTCTTCCCCCCCCCCCCCCTCCCCCCACACCCCACACACACACACACTACAGACACGTTACTTGATGAAAAACAAACAAACAAACTTGAGAATCCATAAGTGAGATCTTGTACACATTTCTTATTCTGAAGATTTCTTGATTGATATGTAAAAGTTTCTTTTGAGAGAGAAACAAACCCATATATTTTAGGTAACTATATATTTATATTTTTTGTATTACAATAGGTTTGTATCTTTTTTGTGTTATGTTGATTTATATGTTATGAATAGTTTATCAAATAATATATATTATATGAGTTTATAATTGGAGGATCTTATTGAAAAATGTATATTAGGATAAATGACGAAAGTACAATTGAATAATTCGGAGACAACATATTCCACAAGTTTTATAGATGATTGATGACTGATGACACTCATTTGTCATGACTTTAATTTCTATTTTTATCTATTTTTCAAAAATAACAATATTTTTGTATTTTCTATAATATAACACGTTCTTTCTTTCTTTTTTAGATTAAT